GATAAATAATATTTTACATTTTATTTATAAAAATGACTTTGAAATTGTTAATTTTTTTTTTAGTTAAATCTCTATTTTGGTAAAGGAAAATTAATAAATTTGCATTTTCGGGAAGTAAGCAGTTCCGTTTAGAGCTTATAATATTTCCGGCTGAGGTGCTAGATGACAGGTGACAGATGACAGACGAAATGTGACAGATGACAATTGACAGGTGACAGACGAAATGTGACAGATGACAGATTACAGGTGACAGATGACAGGTGGAAAATGACAGATGACAGGTGGCAAATGACACCTGTAATCTGTCAATTGTCATCTGTCACATTTCGTCTGTCACCTGTCATCTGTCACCTTTCATCTTTCACCTGTCATCTGTCACCTTTCATCTGTCACCTGTCATCTGTCACATGTCATTTGTCATCAGCTATTTGTCATCAGTCAACTTGATATCTGTCACCTGTCATCTGGCACCTCAACCGGAAATATTATAAGCTCTAAACGGAACTGCTTACTTCCCGAAAATGCAAATTTATTAATTTTGCTTTACCAAAATAGAGATATAACTAAAAAAAAATTTAACAATTAATTTAAAAGCCATTTTTATAAATAAAATGTAAAATATTATTTAACCTAATAAATTACTCTATTATTGTTTGTCATAAAAACAACATCAACATTATTATTTTTTTAACCTATTCGTGAATAAGAAATCATTATATAGATTAAAAAAATTAGCCGGTTAGCCGTTAGCTAATTAGCTGAGCTACGCTAAATTAACCGGTTAAGCCGCCAGCTAATTAACTTAGCTAACTTTTTTGGCCGGCTTAACCAGCTAAATTGTACAGCACATATATATATACATATTATATATATATATATATATATATATATATATATATATATATATATATATATATATATATATATATATATATATATATATATATATATATATATATATATATATATATACCGTACCTTCATTTGCAAGCTAACCATAGGGAAAATACATTGTAACTGGACCAGATAAGTCGCAGTCAACACAAAGCGAGAACCTTCTCAGAAATGATTTGGATGCGTCGTCGAGACATGCGTACTAAAACAAATTTTACCAGATTTACACCGCACAAAATACAAAACAATAATAAAGCATCGATGTATGAAGCAAGGTCAACTGTTACGGCGCATGCTAGCTTACTCGTCCACGCGTCCAAATCATTTCTACAACGTTTTTCGCTTCGTGCTGACGTAGACTTATCTGGTCCAGTTACAATGTATTTTCCCTATGGTTAGCTTGCAAATAAAGGTATGGTATAATAATATGTATATGTTATGGCTAATGTGCAAACTTGGATAGTTTATAATCTAGCTGGCACAATCCACATGTGGATTGTGCTAGCTGGATAGTTTATAAACTAGCCAAACTGTCAGCTATTTTAATTGAAAACATATTTTCAACTAAATTCACCATAAGGCCCCTAAAAACTCTTCAAAACAAGTCAATAAAGAACCTGTATTGTTTACCCTCAAGATATCATTCAGAAGATCTTTATACTAACTTTAGAATAATGTCCATTGATAATATTTATAAATATCAGGTGTGTAGCTTTGTTCATGGTTCTATACTTGAGAAGAAACACACGAATATTAATTTTAAAGCCAGAAATGAAATACATCTACACAACACAAGAAATAATAATAATTTAGCAGTTCCACACGACTTTTCAAAGTATGGTAAAGCATGTTTATTATATAGAGGTGTTAATATATATAACAGCTTACCAGAAGATATAAAAACAAAATCGACAAGACATATAAAAGAGTATTTCAATCCTTGATAAGAGGCTAACCTGCGTGTCTTCTTCTTGAGTATTGAATTTGAAAAAAAAGTTCAGTAAATATGTAAAATGTTAAATTAATGTATAAAGTATGTTTGTATATTGTATATTTGTAAGACTATAATTATCTTATAAGATAATGTTGCTTTATCACTGTGATAGATATATTGTAATTATTAGATATTTAGAGTTTGTCCCTCTATAAACAATCTATGTTTCTTGGGATCAATAAAGTATTTATTATTATTATTATTATTTGAAATTAGCGGCTAGTTTACAAAATAACCAAGGATCTTGGCTAATTTACTTGAAATTATTAGGGAAACTAAAATAGCTGGATAGTTTGTATACTATCCAATTCAGTTTGGCTAATATGAAAACCAAAATTTCTAGTAACACAAAATAGCCAAGCTTTAGCTAGTTTGGAAATTATAATAGGATAATAATAATAATTTTTTACATATGCTTTATATATGCTCTGAGTAAATATTTTACTCAGAGCATATGAAGGGATAAGAAGCAAAAGGGTACAAGGCATTTTAGCATAAAATAAGTTAAGTGCAGAATTGGGTAGTTTGAGTCCAAATTTTTTTTAAAATTTTCTTTTCGTTAAAATTGTACGAGTTCTCCATGTTGATTAATGCAAACAACAATATTGAACAGGGTTCCTGTTTGTCATAAAATTTTTAAATATCATAAAATTGGTTAAATTGTCCTAAAATGTCATAAAATTCACATTTTGTCATAGCAATCATAAAATTTCATTATTTTTTAACAATTTTCTCAGCTTTGATCTTTTTTATAAAATGGAAATTTTGTAAAATAAAATTTAAAGCCGGTCCTGTAGAATAAAACGCAATAAAATGTTTTAAATATGGCCTTCTTTATCTCTGGCCTTGGTTGTTGATGTATGAACTTCATGCTATGAAGTTTGGTTAGGAAATGAATTTTAAATTTGAAATAAATAATGAGAAAGGTAAATTTATTTTTATACTACTATACTTTTTCTACGTTTCCAAAAAATACCATAGAAAAATAATTTAATTGGAAGAAAGTGAGGTTGGATAGGTCTAAAATTTGTTAGATATTAAAAACAGAGATGTCGCCACGAGTGTTTATTCTGTCATCAGATGATAGAATATTTCATTCTGTACACTTTACGGAATATATGTAATTCCATAGATAAAAGTTATATTAGAAGGGTCAAATTCCGTAATAGGAGTAGAAAAATATTATTTCTGAAGGAAATAAGAAATTATCGAAGTACCTTAACAATAACTACATAACTACTCTTAAAAAATCTGTAATATTGGAGGCTCAAACAATGATTAACAAGGGTCTAAAAAAAGAAAAAAAAATATTACCTATAGGTATATACAGGGATGGTAATGTGCTCTTAGGCCGTTTAATAAATAAAGACAAATGCATTATGAGACGTGGGAGTGGTGGAGTGACGTAATAGTGGTGGGGCAGGCCAGACCGCGCCGCGCCAGGGCTGGATGCTCCCGTGTACGAGTTTTGGTTCATGCCGCGCATGCCGTGCGAATACACGAATAATAGTAATATTATCAAAGAAAATAAAGAAATATCTGGACATAGTGCGTTTTTATTAAACTTAATATTGAAGAAAGTTTTATAATATGGATAATAGATGCTTTTAGTCCTTGATAACATTTAGGTGTTTGGTGTTTTAAATTGCCTATTCTTTTTGTTTCCACAAATCAAAGTTTTTCGGGAATCGATTAAATTTAATGTTTTTATTTAAAGGGTTTTTCTTGGACTGGGTGTCTGAATTGCATCCAAATATGCCACACCGCATTTTAATAAATGCAAATGGTACGACACAAACTAAAACACAAACAAAACAAGTTAACGCAACACAAAAACAATAATAAACAAAAAGAACAGGTTAACACAACGCAATAACAATAATTTGAACACTGAAAATAAATTCGAACCTTACCGAAAGCAAAAAGAACAAGTTAAACAAAAAATAGAGCAAGTTAACATCCAACAGCATCGCAAAAACAAGAATTTTAGCAGCAGATAATTAAAAAGCACGTTAAAGATTTAAAAACACTCATCAAGTGGCATATTTAAGCCCCGCCCAACATGCGCACCATCCTATCTTAAGGTGTATGTATCTTGGAAAATGTAATTTTCTTACTACCTCGGCTGAAAATACGTTGTTTCGTCCCCGATTCCACCTCCACCGCCCTCTATAATATCGCTCGCTTACACATTTAATTTTTTCCCGTATTTTCGGCCGGGTAGCAAAAAAAATAGTATACACTACACGGGCAGAAAGTGTGAGAGCCCTGAATCTCACACTTTCTGCCCTTGTAGTGTAATATACTATTATTTTTATATAATAAACCGTTAAAAAATTACATTTATTTTATTAAATAACTTTAGAAATAATAAATTCTTGTCATAAAAAGTGTCATAAAATTTGAAAAATTTGTTATAAAATCATAAAAAAAGTACAAAACAATGCTGGGAACCCTGATTGAAACAAATATCCTGATTTTTATATATAGCAAAAACTTTAAAACTGAATAACTTCACTTCTCTTTTTTGGACTTGTACCCTTTTGCTTCTTACCCTTTGATATGTAAAGACAAAAAGTAAACTAATTTAACAAAAACAAATTGGAGGTATGTCTAATTAATCAGACATTTTTTTAAAAGTTTTAAGAACAATAAAGCAGTCACTGTAAGTTTACAAAAGTTTATTTGTACATCAAACTTTCATGCTGGACAGTGTGCAGCAAGTTCGGTTGCTAATTTACCACTATAGTGTATCAAGCTCATGACTATCACGCCCAAAATGATCATTCTAGTGGGTTGGTACTAGTGATGTAATAAATGTCGATCTTTACACATTCGCAAATGCGAATACTCGCGAATGTGAGTGTCAACTTTTTAAACTTGCCAACATTTTCTGCACACTCACATGTAAATGAAACCTTCTATTGGCTATTTTCGTTCTAGCGGGTTATGCGTTTTAAAACAATTATTTGAAACCATTGATCTCAAAAAATAATAAATCCGTTGCTTTTGTTTCTTAACAATATTCACAAATGTAGGATTTCAAAAAATATAAGCTTCTTTGATAAACTACCACCTTTAAAATTGTGGTACTTACAACTTATTATTTTAGGGGCTTCTCAAATTTCAAGAGATACAGTATCTCTAGACCAGGACCCTGTAACTGGCAGCCAAATGATACAGGCCATGCTACAGTACATCTGGCCAAAAGATAATCCAGCAATAAGGGCCAGAGTTTCTTTGGCTGTGTCTCTTTTAGTAGGGGCTAAAGTGTTAAATGTTTCTGTTCCTTTTATATTCAAATACGCCGTTGATTACCTGAATATGGCTGGAACTCTTAACATGGACACTGCCCCTGAAACTGCAGCCACTGTAGCGGCCACAATATTATTAGGGTGTAAGTAAAATCTTTTTTAGGATAATGTTATTTAAATCAGTTGATTAAAAATGATTTTAATTAAGTTGGTAGTAATAAAATATATTTAAAATATTTACAGTCTGGAAAAAAGTTAACCAGATTTAAATATGTTTAAATTAGGGTTAATATATGCAACCTAATGATACATGTTTATTTAATTTAATTTTTAGATGGTGTTGCAAGAGCTGGTGCATCAGGTTTTAACGAATTAAGAAATGCTGTGTTTGCAAAAGTTGCTCAACATTCAATTAGGAAAATAGCCAAAAATGTGTTCCTTCACCTGCATAACTTGGATTTAGCATTTCATTTAGGCAGACAAACTGGAGCCCTATCAAAAACTATAGATAGAGGATCTAGAGGCATTAATTTTGTCTTATCAGCCATGGTGTTTAATGTTGTGCCTACTGTGTTCGAATTGGCACTGGTATCTTCCATATTGGGACTTAAATGTGGAGCTGCATTTGCAGGTAAGATTAAAAAATAATATAAAACCATAGAAAAATAAATAAATTGTACTTAATATTTTATTTTTCTCTGGAAATATAAATGATGGAAAATGTTTTAGTAATTCTGGGATATATTAATAAAAATGTAATTTGAAACAAAAAAATGTTATAATTTGGTCTAATTCTGGGATATATTAATACAAATGTAATTTGAAACAAAAAAATGTTATAATTTGGTCTATTTTGTATTTTTAATTTGATCAAATGTTACTGACATCGAAATAAAATGTAAATCCGACAATATTGCATAGTCAATTCATATAAATAAACCAACCTAAACTAACTTAATAACCCAAAAACCAAAATAGTGTCAACAAAACCATTAAGGTCAAGCCGCACTGTGATATGCCATAGTTATCGGTTTTTTACAAAAGTGTTCTTGTTATATTTAATTTTCCACAGCATACCCAAAAATGCAATGTATTTCAGTTAAAAAGTATAATTTACGTTTATTCTCTCAAAACAAAATGGTGCAGATAATTTTAGTGTAGGTTCTACTTTATTGTAAGTGTGAAAATGGCGACATATATACAAGGTTTGGACCTCTCACTTGCGCAATATAGTTCTTAATATAATACAGGGTAACCCATCGAAAACGTACCGCAAGGCATTACAGGCTGGGAAAAAACTTTTCGGCTAAATCCAAAAACACAGCAAGTCTGTTTGCCAGGGAGACAACTTTTGACTCAAAAAGTAAAGCAAAATCTTCAACCCTCTAAGGGGGTGTCATCCTCCATATTTTTTCAAATGGGAATAGGGTCAAGTAATACCTCATAAAAAAAAATAATTTCCTATACATTGCTGCTTAATTTTTAAAAATCGATTCACTCGTTTAGAAATTATGGAGCTTTGAAAAACTAACATCACGTTTGACGAAAAATTCAAAAATCGATTTAGTTTTATTTAAAAACCTATCGTATTGGACAAGTAAATGCTCAAACTGTTGTCCGCCAACATGCATACAGTGATAGAGGTTATCTTCAAACCGTTGCTATATTTTGTGGAGCACTTCCGGTGTCACTTCGCGACATACGTCAATAATTCGTCCTCGCAGATCTCCCAATGTGTCAGGTGGAGTGCTGTAAACTTCGGTTTTTATGTGCCCCCACAAAAAAATCTAAAGGACTTAAGTCGGGTGACCGAGGAGGCCACTCAATTGCACCCCTTTGTACTATCCAGCGTCCTGAAAACGTGTCATTTAAAAATGTTTTGCACATTTTTCGAGTAATGCGGAGGAGCTCGTCTTGTTGGAAAGTCAGTTCCTGTTCATTGTATCCAGGGTCGTTAGAGCTGGGTCAATGGCATTTTGTAGTAAATCCAGGTACATATAGCCTGTTAAATTTCCAGGAAGGAAAAAAGAACCTACAATGGAATTTCCAAAAATACCAGCCCATACATTCAACTTCTGGGGGTGTTGTGTGTGAGCCTCGAGGAAAATCTTTGGATTGGTATCAGCCCAGTAACGACAATTGTGACGATTCACTTAAGCATTTAAAAAGAAAGTACCTACACTCGTTAAATAGGAAAAACACACGTCAAATAGGAAATTACCATTATTAATCACTCGTTTAGTCATAATTTCGCAAAATTGATAGCGGCAATCAAAGTCGTCTTCATATAGTAGTAAGTAGTAAGATGGAACTTGTATTTTTTTAATATTCGTTGGACAGTTGTACGCGTCACGCCCCTCGTAATGGCCAATTTTCTTGTACTCAGCATACTATCCATTGCAACTTGCCCTAATACTGCGTATCTCCGTAGGTTCATTTAGTACCGAATTTTCAAGTTGCCTGTTTTTGTTATGAACGGAACCTGTTTCGCTAAATTTGGCCACCAATTCGCGAACAACTTTCCCAGAAGCATGTTTGTCATGATGCCGTTGGTTAAACAGCTCCGCGACCCGATTTTTTTAAAAAAGCTAATTTCTACTCTTTCTGCAATTGTGTACACGATAATTGAATAATTTAAAATGAGTATGAAACACTTAAATACAACCACCTGGCCTATTTAAATGTGAATCAAAAACCTCGATAATTCACTAATACGAGGCTAAAAAATACCAGCAAAAACAGCCAATTCTTTTGTGAGAATTTATTTTTTTCCCAGCCTGTAAAGCCTTGCAGTACGTTTTCGATGGGCCACCCTGTATATACATATTATGTAGATCATTAGAGACCGGATTATATGCAACTGGAGCTTGAGAATGGACCACCTAAGGGCGCAAGTATGTTGGAGCTATGATAAACGATAAAGTCCTCGCTATCGTTACGTCTTTTAAAACAAGTTGCATCGCTAGTAACGATAGCGACGATGCTCTTATCGTTTATCACAGCACATACTCGTAGCCTGAGGCATAGACGTGGCCAACATTTTAAGTAAAAAATCTATAAATTAAATGGTAAATATATCGATTATTCTTTCACATTTACATTTAATGTTATGTATTTTATTTCAAAATATTTTCCTGAATCACAAAGTTTTAAAGCCATTTTTTTCATACCAAATTACTGTTTTTCCTGAATTTAACATCATGATACAAACAACACTAGGTGTCAACTAATAACCTTTAGGTACTGTAAAAATATCGAAAATATGCCCCATTGACAGGTTATCAGTAAAATATGCCATAATCTCCTGTAAAATCTTTATTTATTGTGCGATTTTAACCGGATTTGTTTTAAAGTGTAGATCTCGATAAACTGTATTTTTAAAGCAAAAAACGCCATATTTTTACAAAATACAAGGCCTACTAGTTTTTAAGCGTATAATTTTAAGAATTCATTTTAGAGATTTTTTTAAACAAAATCTAAGCACGGCCTGGATTCACCACCCCTCGAAACGACCCTATACAAAATTTTATTGAAAAATGTTAAGTAGAAAAATGCATAATAATAACTACAAAAATTTATTCTGTCAAGTTATCCATGAAAAAACATTGAAATAAAATTAAATTTATGGTATTAGTACCATGTTACCATAGAAATAATTATTTCTATGCATGTTACGATTGGTTTAATTTTATTTCAATGTTTTTACATGGAAAATTAATAAGTGTATAGAAAAGTTTATAAACGAGGTGCATACTATACTTTTTCTACGACAAATACTTATTATTATTATTATCTTAAAATGATTTAAACCAAAAATTTGTATAGAGCGCCATCTATGAAACAATAGGGGAATGTGTGTGTCACCGTCAAATGTCAAATTTTTATTTTTTATAAACACAATTATAAAGGTTATAAATCGAAATGTATTTCTTGAAAATTTTGACATTACAGTTTTTCACAGTGAAAGTAAAGAAAATGTTTTATGAGCACTTTACAGTGGAGTCCGTGCCCGAATTTAAGTTATAGTTTACTGCCGGCGAAATTAAAAGGTCCGTACAATGTTCATATAAACTTTTCAAATATTGGCCTTGAGAAACTATTTAATACTTTTGTATTTTTGTATTGAAATAATAAAATAATTTTTTCATTTAGTATTATTTTACAAGAAAGGCACTTTATTTTAACGATTGTATGACATTTGACAACTGTCAACTAACTTAAAACTATAGTTATAACTTCAGCCACTGACTAAAGCGCCATAAAGCCACAACTTGTCAATGTGTATTTAAAAGGTCACTTAGTGTCATGGAAACATGTACGATAACGGTCGTTTTAAAGGTGGGAGCAGAAAAAATAATTTTTTGTTATTATTGTGAATTTTTTTACTTAAAATTTTTCAATAAAATTTAGTAAAGGATCGTTTTGAGGGGTGGTGAATCCAGTGTCGTGCTAGGCACGCTAATATGAATTCCCTATACTGTTGTTATTTGAGCTACACAGTTGGTTAAATTAGCAAATTAGTGGCATTTCTTATTAAAGTTGTAAAAACATAAAAACAATTGAACGCCGGGCTTTCCAATTAGTCAGAAAAATAACATTTTTTTAAATGGTACATACATTTTTACTTAGTTTTATTTTTGATGGTCATTACGTCAACAGTAGTTATTTACTTTTTTACACATATGGCAACCCACACATTGTCTATGCTTGAAAATGAAAAGAAAAATGCATATACAAATGTTTACGTAAGCATGGAAGGGGGGTAAGAGCTTTGATTACTTTTGCTGACAAGGGGGAAGGGGGGTAAATAATTGTAGTAAATCTGCTTACGTAATACTTAAAAGGCCCCACATGCTCAATTAAGGCGGGTTTATACAACAATTGATAATTTAGTGGACAATTTATTTCATAACTCAATTGTTAATTTAATGCATAATTTAATACATAATACATAACTTTAATGGAAAGATTTATCAAATTATCTACAAACTTTATTAGCAAGGACGCTAACTACGACATTCTGAGCGAGTTGTGTTTGGAGGTACAGGGCAACAGAAAATTCAAGCACCCAGAGAAGACCTTATGGGAACATCTTAAACAAACACGAGATAACATACTAATTAATTAATTTCAATTTCACGATTATATACTGTTTTTTTTTTGTTACATACAGGGTGTCCCAGAACTCGCGCCACAGAGAAAAAGGGGGCGTGCCGATAGCAATGGAAATGCCAAATTTAAAAATAAAAAATTTCTAGGTAATAGTGTAATCGAATGAGAGCAAAAAAGCGGCAGCCAATACCGAGAGCTCTCGCCTAGGTTAAACGTAAGAGCTTTAAAAATTGCTAGGAGACGATAGAACATTGTTGTATTAAAAACATTTAAAAATCTTTTGGCTAACTGTATTTACTAATTTGTCAAAAGCTTTCAAAAATGAGGTTATTAATCTATGACTTATACTTCAGAACGCCAATGTTTTAAAATAACGATTAGGAAAGGGCTGGGAAAAAACTCGCGTTGTCTCCCTGGCGTTGCGCCCACACTAAACAAATAAATAATTATCATTTCAGTATAATCATCTAAGGAAAACATTATTTATAATAACTTAATTTATAACCTAATATAATATTAATGACAGGAGTTTGACAGCAGTGTCACAATGAATTGGATTCCAGTGGACCAAATATTTTACATATTTTTTATTATCAACAATGCAACCTAAGTATCCTAGCAATTTAAAGAATTCCCTATGGCCATCTATTGGGATTGGCTATCATTTTTTATTCTTATCTCGCTTATCCTTTGCGTTAGACAATTTTAATTTTCAAATATGTGTTTCACGTTACTTTCGGCACGTTCCGGTTTTCTATGTGGCGCGAGTTCTGGGACACCCTGTATATTCAATATATGTTCACCGGCTAAAGGACCTCGGTCAATGGCCATTTGTAAGAAATTGTATTAATTTTTTTTTGCAATAAAGTTCATTTATTATATTTATTATTATTACATAACTTTAAAATTTGGTTTATACATTAATATAATATATATTTTATTTAATTATTATTAAATTTAATATATATTTTATTTTTTCAAATGACAATATTGATAACTAAAAGTGACAAATAACACAAAATCCCTCATTAAAACTCATGTTTTGTAGGAACTTTGTAGTATTTTTAAGGCACAAACACAAAACACAATAACTATTAATTATAACCTTAAAAAATGGAGAGAGAAAAATTGTTGGCAGATGCGCTGTTTCATAATTCATAATTTATTTCATAAAAGTTAAATTTTATAAACTTTCAAGGTTATTCAATAAACACTAAATTGTGAGTTACGGATTAAATCGTTGTATAAACTGTTTCATAGCAGATAGTGCGATTTAACTTTTATGCTTATGCACTAAATTGTGAATTATGAAATAAATTAATAATATGAAGTTGTATAAACCCGCCATTACACACTAGATTTATCACATGTAAATAATTCATTAAAGAGAAGGTTGTGTGATAAAAAAGTTACTAACACGTAATGATAAATATTAAGTAACAGTTCTAGGGACTTTTTTCTAAATCCTATAGGCTAGGTTGGAAAGATGTTAAATGAGTCTTACCCTGCTTAAAATACCCCATAGAGACCTATATAAAATAATCTATCGGGCGCTACCGGATTCAATATGTGCATTTGTCCATGTTTTTTTCCGGATACGGCCCGATAGAAAATTTATAGGAAATTACCTATAGGCACACCATAACTTTTACATTTTCCCTATTGAGACCGATAGCAAATAACTCAATGAAGGATATATAGGGGAATCCCTATAGAACAACCATAAAACATTTGACAAAATTTTATTAAAACCTATGGGGTCCTATGGGGGAAAAACTAATTTCTACATTTATGTGTATTTTTCCCATTGAAACCAATAGCAAATAAATCAAGGGTGGATATCCCTATAGAACAACCATAAATCCCAACTATGGGTCGTATACATACCGATACACCCTATAGAAACACCATACATTCCAATACAAATATCTATCGGTTTGAACAGGGTCTCTATGGGGTATTTTAAGCAGGGTAAATAATGACATTTGATGTTTCTGAATTTACTGAACATGTGTAGTTTTATTTTCAACACGTTCTGTTAGCTTTTAGAAAAAGTATAGTACATAACTCTCATATTAGTTGGATTTTCGAACTCGAGCTTAATTTTCCAACTCCTGTGTTACACTTAATGAATATAATTTAAAAGTCAACTTTTAATGACAGTTTTCGAAAAATATTAATTAACTACCCCAAACTTAAAAATAAACAATTATATAGCACTTCTTGGTTGAAACTAGTGACTTGGTTATTGGAACAACCATCAGGAAGATCATGTGCTTATTTATTGTTTATTTTTAAATTAAGGGTAGTTATGCAATAATAATTTTTGTTCCAAATTAAATTGCCCTTTGTAAAAATATACAGGGTGTCCCATTCAATAAAATAATTTTTGGAACATATTGGAAATCTGACATTTAATTGTTTTTCTGTTTTCACCATTTTAATCAAAAGAAAAAACAACCAATTTGCCTATTTAATTGACTTTGTGACATCAAAATAAACAATCTGCTGCAAGTTAATGTTAACAATTATATTTTCTGATATTTTATGTCAAAAACACGGGGTGCGAACTGGGATTGGTGCTTTGATACAGTGTTTTTCAGAGCGGAATTCTCACTAGATGGCGCTATTTGCAGAATTCTTTATACCAGGAACATGTCTTAAAAGAATATAGCTAACCATAGACGACAGTAAATAAATCTTTTTGTATGGGTAAAACTGGCATCTGTCACAGTATTGCAAAATTGAAATATTTTAATAATTTTCAATACAAAAAAGTTTCATTTTTATTATTCTTTTATATTCTATCACCTCATGTGTGTATCGTTTTGTTCTGTTGTGGTTTTGTGCGTTATTATATTTTTAATAATAAATGGTATGTTATTATAATTTATTTTTATTTATTTATTTTATATCATGAGAGTTATACATGCTAAATTTTAGAACAATATATATATAAACTGTAATAAAACACTATTATTTCGATTTGTTTTCAAACTATTTAACTGCCAGGCAGTTAAATAGTTTTAAAACAGATTGAAATCTTCCAAAAAAATATATTATTCGTTTCAAATAAACCGCCAAAACCTAAAAACCAGAGCGGAATTCTTACTAGGTGGGCCTATCACACGTTGCTTACTGAGTTGCCTATCTATTTCTTCATAATCTGTGGTCAATTAAGCTTAAAATCATTATGACTTTGTTTATATTAACAAATTCAACCCTTTTATTTTTGAAACGTCTCAAGAAAATTGTACCCTCTTATACCGTATTTTTACGCTAAAAGTATACAGTGCCAAGTGCATCCGAACGCCTTGAAAGAGAGTGGGGACCTTTTGCAGCGGCGATGGCACACCGTGGTGCACCGTTCGAGCATGATATGTATCATGATGTTAAAGCGATTAAAAACCGAAAGCACCAAAAATGAAAATAAAATATAAATAAGTAGTCTCAAAATTTTTAAATTAATTCAATTTTTAAACCCTTATAACTCAAAAACTACTCATGGAAAAATTGGTTTGTAATTTTTTTTATATATGAAATGACTCCCCTACAGCGTGACATACCATTAGTGCGCCATTTTTTGGGACACCCTGTATAAATTGCCATGCAAACGACGCATTTACAATATTAAGTTAAATAGGACCAATGATACCTAATTTTATTTTTATCAATAAAAATTGGCGAAATATTAAAAAAGTATCCAAAAGTTATATATAGGTATATATTTTTTATTGAGGAAATTTGCTTTATACTAAAAGAGACGGTTTTTCTTAAACTGTTTGTGTTTTTAAGGCATTTCTCTTGGTTGTGTGGGCTTATACAGTGCATACACCTTGGCTGTGACCCAGTGGAGGACAAGATTTAGGGTTTACATGAACAAAGCCGAAAACGAGGCCGGCAACAAAGCAATAGATTCGCTAATAAATTATGAAACTGTTAAGGTAATTTAATAACATAGAACACTTATTTTATTATCTGCTGATTTCGGTTAATAATTTCAGTACTTTAATAATGAAAAATTTGAAGCTGATAGGTACAATAACGTACTTAAAACATACGAAGCGGCCAGCTTAAAGACGAGTTCCAGTTTGGCGTTATTAAATTTCGGACAAAATGCCATTTTCAGTGCTGCTTTAAGTGGTATTATGATTTTGGCGGCAAATGAAATAGTTAAAGGTAAGAATTTAATTTAAGAAAAACTGCAATAAGAAATATTTATTTGATTCTTGATTTGATTTTGTCTGGAACATAAGCTTTAATCAAGTTTTTTTCTAATTGTTTATCTATTTTTTATTATAATTAATTATATTTTTAATATAATTTGACTTACATTTATAAACCTTTAAATAATTAAATTCCAAGTAAGGAAAAAAAACTAAAAATATTTTAATGTAATCTATATGATATAAGGTAATATGACTGTGGGCGATTTGGTAATGGTAAATGGTCTTTTATTCCAACTCTCGATACCTTTGGGCTTTTTGGGTAGTGTATACAGAGAAGTTAGACAGGCACTAATTGACATGCAAACAATGTTTACGCTTATGATGATGGATAGCAGTATAAAGGTAATGATAATTTAAGCATATCTAAATAAATCCTATAATAAAAATATTAAAATAGGAATTAACGATTAGTTTTTGTTTAAGAAATATATTTTATAAACAATTTTTTTATTTTTGATCTTTTAAAATTGACTTTAGGTTACAACACACTAAACAGTGTACAGTCCGTTCAGGCTAAGTTGAGCGCTTTAGCGGGGGATCATGTGGCCGTTAATTAAATTAAACATCGAATCTTCGCGAGATTTCGGTAACAAGAAGATGATTTACCAGCTACCAAAATACATGTATTTAATTGTGCCTGAACAAAGAGATGATGGACGGGGTGACATTCCTTAGACCGCACAACTTAGCCTGAACGGACAGTAGTTAGCAAGATTAATTATTTGAGCAAAATAAATTGAACACTCAGTAGTTTACAATACAGGGAGTTAAATAATAAATGGTTAAAAATCAAGGGGGTCGAAAGTCACGCCAAGATAAGCATTTTTGGTCCTGGGGACATGTCTTCTTAAGGGCTTAATTTTAATGCTAAAGGGTTTTGAAATAGTTATTCTTGATTCTAGATTGCGAAATTCTACTTTTGCATTCGAGAACGAAATCATTCAAGAATTCAACAGAATTTCGCAATCGAGTATTAAACAACATTTTTACGAAAACGGTATGCCACATTTTATAAGTAACTAAAAATGTAAAGAGAAAATTTTGAAACGGATGTAATATGTAATTGTTTTACACGAGCTTAAAGAAAGCTTTTCTCACAAGTATGAGTATAAGAGTCGTATAACCAGCCCGGACCCCGTACAGCCCTATGTTTACTTACGCCAATTTTTGTTCGCCGATGCTATACGCCCAGTAGGGTACAGAGGAGGAGGGACGGGAGGGATAGACGTTTATTGGTTTTTGGGGGACAATTACGCCGACTTAAAAATAAGTACGACGCGGAATCCCCCTAGACCAGTCGATTAGTATTACTCCAAACATTTGGGATTACTATTTGGAGTTGGGGAGTTGTTATTTCGATGCAAGGGTGTAGTTTCCTAGTCGAGGTCTTCGTCTTGTTCGTTATTGTCATTGCCCGTGTCCTCAGTCTTGATGCCGAAAACCATCAATAGATAGTTCAGTAGCTGGATATGTAACTTGTAGCTTTTTGTGTTTTTTTTTAATTGTTTATTGCCGCAGTAGTGCGAAATTTCTAACAATTTTTTTTTTTAGTTATTGTGTTGCCCAAACACGTTGTGTGGTAGAGTTTTGTCTTTTTTTCTTAAATTTCAAAATTAAGTATTGCATTTATTTATTAGTTAAACAAATGACAAGCGCAATTATTCTGTTATCTAATGTTTACAAATCCAGAAGAGTTTGGTTATTATGCTTTTTTTTACTATGTTAGGGTTATAATGATTAATATGTTAGTTTATTCTGTGTGTCTATTGTTTATTATTGGTCTCGTTTGGGTTTGCCTTACGCATTTGTTGTTGACAGATTAATTGTCCTACGCAGTGGGTTTTAAAGATATCTGTCGTGTTTAATTTGCAGATTATGTGTTAGGTCATGCATATGCTTAAAGTTACTTATCAATTTTTTGCGGATGGCCACCTCCCCTCTTGTTTGTCCAGTGAAAAGCGTCTAATGCACCATTTTAGTTTGCACTCTATGAAAATTGTTTGTTTCACTATAATTGGTTTGCACATTTTAAAAATTATTGTTGGTTTTAGTCTTTAAACTTTTACGTTTTAAGAGCTCTCGCTCTCGCGTGGTGCCTTCTCAAGTGCTGGAACCTGACTGTGAAGAAAGCTTTTCTCACAAGTGAAATATTTTTTCTACAACTCTTTTATTTTTTATTATATTTAAATACAAAACAAAATAACCTAAATACGTGTTTGACAGCTGTTAAAATTACTTTCATCTTTTAATTTTTAAGGTAAAACCAATAATCTTACCTTCTCAATTTAAATAAAGGCACTAAAAATTAGAATTTATTATACAAAAACAATTAATTGTGTTCTAAATGATATTTAGACATACATACAAATACAATACATATTTGAAATGAATTTCAAACGATGCTGTCAATTTCTTTTCACACAGACCTGTCACTTTTCACACAGAAATGTCACTTTACATTCGTGTTTTGCCTTGCCAATGAAAATATTCATTTTCTAAGCAACGATGCCAATACGAAATGTGACTTTTACCTAGTGGTCGTATAAAAAATACTTTTACATTCTGTAGACAAAAAACTGTTGTTTTGACGCTTAATAAATATAATGTAAAAGTAAACTTAATGGCAGTTTTCGAAAAATGTAATAAAGTTTTATTTTTTAATATGTCCATAAGCTTTTTGGATAATATTTCAAATTTTGGTGTAAAAGTACATAATATTATTTTAGTTACAAAAGTTGTTTTTTAAAGTGGATATTTTTTCTGATTAGGCTGGTCAATCTATCTATCTATCTTCTATCTATATATATATAAATGAATTTTCGTGCGTTAGTCCTGCAAAAACTCGAAAATGGCTCAACCGATTTAAATAGTTTTTTGTTTGTTTGGTTCTCCTCAATACAGGGGTGATTTAAATAAAAAATACATTAGGAAAAACCAAAAGGAACAGCCGGATAAAAAAAATCGAAATTCGTACATCTTTGGATTAATTTGAATAGATGGCTTCAAATTAAATAACTATTAAACTCGGAAATGGCTCAATGAATTTAAATAATTTTTTGTTTGTTTGGTTCGCCTCAATACAGGGGTGATTTAAAAAAAAACATTAGAAAAACCCGAAAGGAACAGCCGGAAAATCGAAAAAATCAAAATTCTTGCAACTTTGAATTAATTTGAATAGGTGGCTTTCGTAGCTGCACTTCAAATTAAATATCTACTAAACTCGGAAATCGCTCAACCGATTTAAAAACCGAAAGGAACAGTCGCAAAATCAAAAACATAACCACAAATTCATTTTTTGGATTAAATGTTAAATGTAAAAGATATCCATTTGGATTACAAACGAGTTTCATTTAATAATCAAACAAAACTTAAACCGTACACGATCTCAATGAATTGGATTTGAAAGGTTCATAAGGATTTATTATCGCTTATAAAGAATTTTAGGTGGAACGAAGTTCACCGGGTCATCTAGTTCTACATAAAAACGGCTTCGTATGTTTTTCTTGTTCTTGATAAAAACAATTAAATCAAAACTGCTTCACCAGATCAACCAAATGCTGTTTCCTAAGTAGTTTGGTGAGTTGAATTCGAATCTGAAGTCGGTTTTGCTTTATCAGGTTAGGTTCTAACCCTAAATTACTAACCCACACCCACACTAGGGTGGGTAGAATTTGAAATATTAAATTTAAGATTGTAAAAGGCTACTCTTATTTTATTTTATTTTTGACTCCAACCTTTGGAGATGAGTTGGTTGGATGAAAGCTTTAAGAAAAACACCGTTAATAAGCAAGGATGTTAGCATGTTTTAAAATTTTGAGCGTATGAATTTTTTTATTTAATTTCTTTAGAGATAAGTTGAGCGTTCAACTCATCCCCCATGATATTGGAAGCCAAAGATGAAGCTTAAATATAAAAAAAATGAAAGAGCAGCCTTTGACAAACTTATTAAAAACTAAAAAAAGTTTGATCCACCCTACTGTGCCTCCGCTACCTGCACGAAATTCGCGCGCAGTTTTTATAAATGGGTCATTTATTTTATAAAATTAGAAAATTTAAATTTAATTACTTTGACGAGAAAAATGTAAGAGGCCGGTTTTATGTAGAATTGAACTGGCTAATAAGAAAAAATATACCCATGAAAAAATGTCAGTGGGGTACTACTTTTTTTTAAATATCATGAGTGCAGATACGCCACTGGTAAAGCAATATAAAAAATGTTGTAACTAAATACTTTTATATCCTACCAATACAAACCAAAATTTGAAATAATATCCAAATTGCTTTTGGAGATCAGTACCGATATAGACGGGCAGACGAGTAGACGTGCTCTCGAAGAAATTCGATCGCTCTTAAGTGTACCTAATAATAATAATAAGTCTTAATAAGCTTAAAGCTAGTATCAGACGGTGCAGCCTCTCGCGGCGACTTTATCGCTGCAACAAGTTGCAGCGATTTTGTTGCACACAAGGTATTCACACGAACCAACTAAATTGGCGCAATTTTCCACCAGGATTGCCAATTTTTCCGAAAATTACTAAGGGGAAAAATAAAAATACCTGTTCTGATTTAAATGTATGTTTTCGTTATTACGTTAAAAGTGTTTAGTGCATAGATTAAATAAATGGTAGTGCTTATTATTATTAACAATAACAAACATTTAATGTTTTATTAAACGGAATTGTATTATCATTGCAAATATGGATGAAAATAGTATTATAGTCGCTAGCATAATAGTGATAGGGTGTGCTGTTTTACTATTAAACTTAAAAAATAAGAAACAGAGAAAGTGGTGGGTGAGGCCATGGATCCTGCAAAGGGATACCAAAGGAGCATTTTCTTTAGTAAATGAAGAGTTTGAGGCTGCCGAGGACTATGAAAGTTATAAAAATTTTCTAAGGATGGACAAGCCAACATTTTGCCTACTTTTGGAAATGGTACAAGATGATATTAAAAAAGAATCGACCCTTATGAGGACTTCGATATCTCCTAAAAATAGACTAATAATAACCCTAAGGTTCTTAGCAACGGGAGAGTCATACAGAAGTCTTCAATATTACTTTCGAATAGGGCGTTCAACAATATCAACAATAATCCCCGATGCGAGGCAATTTATACTAGACTTCAACCTAAATATTTAAAGGTAAATAAGTTTTATTTATAATTTACCTAATATAAATAGTTTTGTTAAATTTTATATTTATTTAGGCCCCAACTACTGCAGCAGAATGGCTGAATATTGCAGAAGAGTTTAATAATTTATGGAATTTTCCAAATGTTTTGGGGGCAATGGATGGGAAGCACATAGTTTTTAATGCACCAAGACAAGCGGGTTCGGCATTTTACAATTATAAGCAGTGCCATAGCATTGTTTTACTAGCAGTTGTAGATGCCAAATATAAATTTTCATATATTGACTGTGGGACAAATGGCAGGGTTTCTGATGGAGGAGTATTTCAGAAAAGCAGTTTATGTATGGCAATTCACAATAACACTATTAATATCCCTGAAGAACGACCCTTGCCAGGCCGCAGAATTCCTATGCCATTTGTTTTTGTGGCAGATGCAGCTTTTCCCTTGCAAAGGAATATTTTAAAACCTTTCCCAATAAGAAACATGAATTGGAATCAAAGAATATTTTATTATAGATTAAGTAGAGCTAGACGGGTTGTAGAGAATGCTTTTGGCATATTGGCCAATAGATTTAGAGTGCTATTGACTACCATAAATTTAGCCCCTGAAAAGGTTCAACTCATCACAGAAACTTGCTGTGTATTAAATAATTTTTTATTGACTGAATGCCCAGGAATGGAAGAAATTGATGAAGAATACCAATTTATTTATGGCTTGGGTCAACAAGGGGGAAACAGAGCAAGAGGTGAGGCACTAAATGTGAGAAATGAATTAATGAACTATTTAAATGAAGAAGGTGCAGTTGAGTGGCAAAATAATATTGCTTAAGTTTTTGCTATACAATGATATAATAAAGAACATTATTTTATGAGTATAGAATATTAGAAATAAGATTGTTTTATTTGTTTTTATCAAGAATGTTTGTTAGTACAAAATAAATTAAGTTAAATTTGTTTAAAAATATAAAATTGAAAGATAAAATTATTTATTTATTTATTTTTTCCAATATTAAAAAATAAGACCAATAAAGTTTTAAAAATTATATATTCTTATAAACAGAAGTTTATTGGGTTTTGTTAAAATAACACTTAAAGCCTAATGATAAATATGTATTATTAAAATAATAGAAAATCTCAAAATAAAAACATTTAAGCACAGCCTTAACTTTTTCAGACTGTACAAAAACAAAAAATTGAAAATATTATTTTCTCAAACAAAAATAAATCTTTATAAAAAAATATATTAATCTTAAAATAAATTAAAACAGGCTTATTCTTTAAGAAGAGTACAAAAAAATTAGCACACATGCTTGCACATAAGAATATTACATTGCCTCAAGTAACAAACGGCATAACTCCAATATTAAGTAATAAAGGACAAAAGATGTTGATTGTTACTTACAACACCAAATATTTTTGTCCTTTATTACTTAATATTGTAATTTTGCTGTTTGTTACTTAAGGCAACGGTTACTCTTTTAAACAAAAATAAACCTATATTTATAATAAACATACTAATTTTTTGAACGCTGAAGTCTCTCCTGCGCATCAAGAACACAATTTAGAATCTGTCTCTTGACAGTTCTAAGTTCTTCTTCACTGTCTATTTTTGTCATTTCTTCTGCAATCATCCTGAAAAAAAAATGTTGCCATACAAATTATTTTTTAAGTTTTGTTGTAAAATACTTACTCAGTAAAAGCCTTACATTCATTAAATCCTATTTTGCTATTTGAAATAACATTTAAAGCATTTGCAGCATCCTTTAAAATTCCTTTTGTTTCTTCTTCAATTGAAGATTTTTTTTGTCTTTTTGGTTTTTGTCTAACATGTGGCACATACACACCCTCTTCAAGTTCCTCAATTGTTGTCTCATACACTATATTCTCTATTTCTTCATTCACGCTTGAGCTTTCAGGACTGTTTGGTATGTAGATAGGCTCACTGTCTGTCTTACTGCTTCCCGGTTCATTTAAATTTGAACTGGATTTTCTAACAGGGTCAGAACTTATTAAAAATTGAAGGTAGTCATACCACCATACCTTTGGCACATATAAGTACAATGTGCCAGCCCCACTTACAACACGCTTTTTCACTTTACTGTATTCTTTAAAGAATTGGGTGTGTAAATTATAAATTTTTTTATTAATTTCTTCAATAGTTGGACTAAACCCATTTTCAATTAAACCCAATCTAATATTTTTGAGGGCATCTTGCCGTTTATTTTTCAACTTATAGTTGGGGTTGTTTGTTGAATATAGATTTGGGTTTGTCTCATAAAGGAGAATTAACAAACGGGTTGATGGTTGGTCCCACGTAAAACCCTGAGAGCTCATTTTTATAAACACTCGACGCTTAAACTGAAAATTTGTGTAGGATATACACCATAGACTACTACACACTCTTAAAAATAATGTTGTTATCTGTCATTCCATTTGACAAATATTAAGTACCAACCTTATTTTTTAGTGAAAATTCGTAAACCCCTGTAAAAGTTACTAAGTCGCCGCAACTTTATTGCATGAAAAATAGAACATGTTCTATTTTAGGACAAGTTTGATCAACTGCTTAGTTTCATTGTGTGAACAACAAAAAATCGCCGCAACCTGGTTGCCGCGACAAAGTTGCTGCAAGAATTTGCACCGTCTGATCCTAGCTTAAAAGAAACATATCGCTCAGACAGTATAGTTTAAGGAAAATACTGTGCTAAATTATTGCAAAGATTTACTACCTGAACAAGGAAAACCAATGTACCTGTTGTTAATATAAACAATACATTAGTGCATTAAAAAGCAATTATCAACAAGTGAATATAGTGATTTAAGACCATACGTACACGGAAGTAGGTAATTAAGAAAAGTCACAGCATACCTGATGATCTAACCCCAGGCCAATATGAATCACGTTATTTAAAATACAAACTATTCTAACCAGTAGTGAAAGGGGCCATCATCTGCAAAAATCTGATAAGTACTAGTTAATCGTATAGCCTAACACACAAGTTTGCCACAAAAACCTTACAAGAATCAACTATTATTTGTGAAAATAGCGTAACAATATAAATAAACCAAATATTAGGTAAGAACGTCTCAAAACATAAATAAGCATAAACTTAAGAGGCCAGCCCCAACAAAATTAAAAAGTTTAAAACTTAACAAACGAAACTAAAATAAACAACCAGTTCCGATATTTGCCTAACATAAACATAATAAACCAAAACACCTCTAAATTTTAGGCATGAAACAAAAGCCTGCTGCGAGCCGTATAAGATAATTAAAAAAAGTTAAGAGCAATTATATAAAATAAATAATATAAACGCAACTTCTAATTGTTAGAAAAGAAAACGTAAATACAATTTCTACCACAAAATGAAGACAACTATCTATCGATAGTTCTTGACATCTACACTAAAGAAACGGCTTTCGCACAGTGGGGCAAACAATTGCTCACAACAGTTTCCGAGGTTCAGCAGACTACAAGACCAGCAAGGATAGGTCTTAGCAGCGTACTAACCAACCAAACCTCATTCATGAACCCCAAATGAATGTGGGCATTACTAAATCCCTGGTTGAGGGGGATTCCGGATTGTACTTAGTTTTGGGTCAGTCCAATGTCACCCAAAAACCAAAATGTTTTCCCTCTTTGTCCCGCACTCCACTAGCCTAAATCGGTCGTATGGCCCGGCCAGCCGACAAAATTCCGGGTGTGGCCTTAACCATCGACACTGTCATCCACGACCTCCTAGGCAAGATTTACTAACCGGGGTGAAAATTCGGATCCACCAAACACAGGTATTGTTGTGCAGTGGTGGGATACGTAGGAGAACTAAAAGGGGGTAAAATAACCCTGGGAGATCAGTGTAAGACGTTGCCGATGGGGCCTGCCATACGTTCTTTATACTCATACTTATAACCAAATTGCTTTTGAAGATATTAAAAAATAGCACAAAATTACCTTTTAAAAACAAAATTTAAGGCCATTAGGACAAATGCTTGTTTTGACGTGGCCTGGGACCTCCTTGATTTTTTACCATTTGTTCCCTAACACCAGGTATATTATATTATTCTCATGCATTTTTTGTATATAATCGACAATTGTTATTTTTATTTTAGAATAAACCACTAGCGCCATATTTACACGTTGACGCGAAGTCATCCTATATAACTTTTGAAAACGTCAGTTTTGATTACGGCCCTGGAAAGGAAATTTTTAAAGATTTAAACATTAAAATTTCCCCTGGTAAAAAAGTTGCAATTGTCGGCGGATCTGGATCAGGGTAAGAAAAAAAATGTTTTGGATTTAATGGGATTGTTTTATTTTTATAACTTATATTACAATAATAGGTAAAGAACAAAAACCAAAATTTATTTTATTATTATCGCGCACGCAAATACAGAAATATTACTTACCTGAACTCCGCTCCGCTTCTTTCTTGTGATTGCAGTAGCGTGCAAAAAAATATAACTACCCACCTTGTAGGAAAATAACTAATTTAAAATATTTTTCATAAAAATCAGTATACTTTTTCATACGTTTAAACCAATTTCCGTACTTTTACCACTCCGATTAAAGTACCTTTAAAGCATGCTTTTGTTGGGATTGCTTATCTTAAATTCTGCTGTTTGTAGTCCGGTTTATATGCATAGATCCAAGTTAACGTTTTGTGTAGACGTTGTACACGGCTTTTGGTGTACAGCGATGGTATTTTTTATCGATGTGCCTTTTTTATTGTTTATTTTTAGTATTCGAGATCCAAATACAAATATTTTTGTAGGCCAAATGTTCATGCTCATTACACTATATGTGGGTTCATCGCCATATAAAAAATTAAGTTCATGGTTACACCGTTGCACTATTGTTGAGATAATCCAAATCGAAAGTTGTTAAAAATAATCACACGAGTTATTTCTATTTGCTTGTACGTTAAATATCAGGTAGCAGCACTAGTGTTGCCCATTAATGGAATATAAATGGCAAATATAGGATGAAAATAATTTTGAGTAGGTTTAGTTAAAAACCTAAACCTAAATAACACTGTAGGGACCTGCAAACAGGCCGCAGTAAGGGGGCCAAAGGGTGAGCCCTCCCCGGGTACCCCAAAGAGGGGCGTCGAAGTCGCCCTCTTGCTTATCAAATAAAATGTTTGGCAGACAATTTTTGAACTTGAATAATAAATATTTTAAGAAAGCGAGCTAACCTAGACAAACGGAATACACCACTAAATTCTACTACTGAAAATTAAATTTGTGTCCCGGCGTTTTAGTTTGTATTTTTAAAAGTTGAAAATCTACCTACAGTGTAATTTATTAATAATAATAAATATATAAAAATTTTTTAATTGAATTTTTTTGTATTTTACATTTGAATTAGCAAAACTTACTTATATGACTCACACATAATGTGAGTGAACTTTTAATTCAGTTTCTGATTTTTATTAACTATTGGTAGTCTTAAAAGTTTATCTAAACAACAAATTGCAAATATATTTTAAATATTCTTTAAAATTCAAGTTAAATGATATTTTTATATTCTTTTTGATAGGAACTTTTTTAGGTGGTAAAAATAATTTAAAACGTGCAATTTTTGAAATTTTAAAGACTTAATATTACGCTGTGTCTACAGATGCGGGACTTAAGTTTGATCCCGACTAACGCCACACACTGCAAATCGTCATTATTCCCCGAGCGTTATAAATTTGATATAAGGCTGGGTAGCTCAGATGGAAGGGCGCTCGATTAGCATGCGAGAGGCAACGGGTTTAATACTCTGCTCCTCCTCAACTTTTTTATTTAAAGGATGTGACGCTTTTTGGTTTTAGTTAATTTCGACAAAGCGCTCAAGCTTTTTTGCATAGTCATTGAACATAAAGAAGTATTAAGTGTATTATTATTAGCACAAAATATTTTAAGTAAATTGAATTACTTTATACTCTTTAGGACGTTAAAGCGTGTTTGTAGTTTTTTTTAAATAATTTATTTCTTACTTTTTAGTCTTAACTAGTTTAGGTAGTTTATTAGTAACATCAGCTATATCAAAAAAGAATTACTTATTCTTATTCACTTATTCTGCTTGACAAATCCTTTCATTTAATCCACCATCCAGGAGCGGCAGCCATATTAGATTTATTATCTCACTCACCTCATCGTTTTCTACTCGTCAAAACCCTACGAGGTTGTAAAGAAATAGGTAATCGGCCATCTTGGGGCGGCCGCCATATTATATTTAGTATGACGTCACTCACCTTATCGTTTTCTACTCGCCAAACCCTTTCATTTTATACCCATATCAAGGTGCATGGAGCCTACACAAGGAGTCCGAACGTAATAGGATAAATTGACAAAACCTGCCCACTAAATTGTACAAATTATGTCTTGTTTTTCACCGGCGCTGATGTCTTCTGTTTTGGTAGCGTTTCGGTACGAATCAAACAATGAAGAGAACACCAGCGCCCTCTTATCTTAGGAAGATTTTTGTAAACATAAAGTTTGAACTCCTTGTGTAGGCTCCATGTCAAGGGAGTTGAAAAGAAAAAGGTAATCGGCCTTTTTGAAGCGGCGCACGGACCACTTTTTCTTTATCAAAAGGGTAGCAAATGACTAAAAAACATATTTTTAAAGGTATACAAGTAATAATAGGTACTATATCTATCTATTCACAAATTTATTTATAAAAAAATTATAAAGTAGCTACTTACATGCAAGTAATGCAATAAAAATATTAAAATTAAAAATATATTAAAGTTTTTGTGCCCTTTAAAAAATAAAAAATACATCAATTTACCTAAAAATCTTATAAGATCGCACTAAAGTGTCTGTTTTTAAGGGTACATGATGGCTACAGTTATTCTAGATGTTCTAAAGTTTAATAAAATGTAGGTCGGATGCCGTTGCAAGGTGTTGCCGATATTTAAAAACATACGTGTTTGTTTGAAAAAAACGAGAAAAATTAATCATTTTTAGGTAGATATGTTTAAGTAAAGATTATAACACAAATGACATGTTGCTTAAAATATTGTACATACCTTAATTGACGACATCCATATTAATTTCTTTCACCAAAATCACTTTTAACATAGGAAACCCGGCGAAAATTTGTTTTTTTTTTGTGTCGCGAACGAAGACGTACGATGTAACAGAGCGCTAGCTTCTTGCTGCTGGTACAGCGGACTGGGACGGCCAATTCAAGTTGCAACTACAACAAAAGATAGCCATGTTATCTGACTTCTTTGATACAAAATCTTAGATCTGGCAATAAAAATTAACAAAATTGATTTTTGGTCACGTTTTAGGTCCAAATACCGGTCTGTGCGCCGGCCATTTTCAATATTGAGTATACTAGATTTTAATGTCACCAGCAACAAATATGTGTTTAAAATTTTAGCTTAATTGGTTAGGTGGAAGTAAGTTAAAATCGAGTTCATGGATTTGTTTTACAAGTAAAGCTAATATAAAGCGTGTAAAAGAGTATACTTAAGCTATAAAATAAAAATATAGTTTGTGCCACTCATAAGAATCTATAGACATTAAAAAATTATTTCAAATATGTTTGAAAAATAAAGCAAACTATTTATTTTACAAACAACAAACTCGAATAAATAATATTCTAATATTAACAATATTATTTTTCTCTAGTAAATCAACGATAGTTCGCCTACTATACCGGTTTTATGAGCCCAGAGAAGGTCGCATTTTGATTGGAAATACGGACATCCGCGACGTGGATCTAGACAGTCTGCGCAGGTCTATTTCCATAGTACCGCAAGACTCCGTCCTGTTCCACGATACGATCAAACATAACCTGCACTACGGCGATTTGACAGCCACGGACGAGCAGGTTTTCAAGGCGGCTCAGATGGCGGAAATACACGATTCGATCATGAAGTGGCCGAAGGGATACGAGACACAAGTAAGAGGAGTTTGGCGGTTAAATTTGAATATTTTGATAAAAAATTTCTGTTTTACTCTGTAGGTTGGAGAGAGGGGTTTAAAATTATCAGGTGGCGAGAAACAGAGAGTTGCGATTGCAAGGGCTATACTGAAAAATTCTCCAATATTAGTTTTTGATGAAGCAACAAGTTCATTGGATTCCATAACTGAATATGTAAGTAACTATTTCATTTTATTTATTGTTGCATAAAAGGTATATGCTTTAAAAATATAAGTATTCAATTTGACACCTAATTATAATATTTTATAATTTCTTTGGCTTTATTTAAGATTTGTTTATTAAGATTTACTTAGGACTAAATAAATAACCTTTCATTTTATTTCATTGTATTAAGATGGTTCATGGTTTATTGGTCGTTTTTTGTCTCTAAAATTTAGCCACTAATGTAATTTATCCAATATATAATATATAAATATATTATAATATATTATAATATCTTAGAAATGCATTCTTATTTTATTTACATTAATTTATTGTTGACAAATTATTCAAAAAACGTGACCAGGGGCGGATGGGGGGGTCAGACCGGCCCTGGATTTCTCGAGCTGAGCGGCCCATTGTACTTGAGAGGAAAGTTTAAGGTATAAGCAAAATAAAAAAACACCTGACAAAAAAATATATAATCAAATGGTAAAAAAAACAAATACTCTAAAATTAAAAAAATATGTTTCATTATTTTTAAAACAAAACGAAAACTAAATGTTATATAAGTCTAAAACAAAACAGAATAAAAATAATCATTGGTTAATATGTTAATACTTTCTGCATTAACCTACTGGATAAAGCGAGTTTATTAATAATTTCTTCGTTGTCGATTTTACTTAACAGATCTCGCTCCATATTCATGAGCATAAAAGATTCTAAGTTTTCCTCTGATAAAGAATTCCTTAATCTATTTTTAATATATTTTAAAATTGAAAAGCTTCGTTCACAAGACACTTGAGTCACTGGAAGAGTTAAAATATATTGATATATAACATATAGGCAAGGATATGCATTTTGATACATGTTATATTTAACTACAGTCAAGTAGCAACAGAAAACGCAGTTTTGGCAAGGATTTATTTTTTATTTATTTTATATATATTTATTTTATTTATTACATTAATTTTGAAAGTCAACTTGTTCATTCTCATCAACTGTTAAGAATGTGGGATCTTTTTCAATAATATTTATAATTGAATTTTTAAGTGACATTTTGTAAAGGTCCCAATTATTTATAAAATGTAGCAATTCATCTTTAATTCTTAAACATGAAGCATCTGGTTTAAACTTTAAAATTTTTTGTAAAATATAATGTAAACTTTGTTTTGGAAGGCACTTATTTTTTTTTATTTCATCAAATGATAAGGGATTGAAAATTGAAATGTCTGTAATTAAATTTAAATTTTTTTCGTAGCGTTTTTCCATAGACTCGACTGCTGTGTCCACTGTTACGTAAAAGGTGTTAACAATAAATTTTTCTCGAGGATATTGAATGGATTCATCTGAAACATTTTCATCAACAAATTTTTTAACTTTTCTTTTTCTTATAATAGGAAATTCTTTTTGTATTTCAAAATCAAGATCTCTCTTTTCAATTTCAGCATTAATAACTGATATAAATTTTTTTGTTGAATTTTCAACTATGTCAAAGTCACGTTGAATTTTTTTTAATTCAGATACTGAGTTTTTAATCATAAAACTGGCTTTTATAAGGTCCATACCTTGCGTTTGTAAATATCGAGAAAGTGGGCCCGTAATTTCAAATATTTTTAAAAAAATTTGAGCTGTAATAATAATTTCATATTTTAAAAAATTGTGTTTTTAAACTATCTGCGGTAGACCGAATATCGGGGTTAAAATTGCGGTTTTTTGAAATATTATTTAAACTCTCGATTACATCTATATAAAGAGGTTCTTCTCCAAAAACTTTGACTAATTCTTTTTCTTTTGACCACCACCTTGTTTTCCCTATTAAACCAAGTTTTTTCCGATTTTGATCTTCAGAAATAGAAGACCATATATCCATTCTTTTATAAGATTCTCGAAAAAATGAAGCTGTAGTGTTTAATAAAGAAAATAAGTTGGAGGCTTGTAAATTATCTTTTAAAATATCGTTTAACACTAAATTCAAAATATGTGCATAACACCAAATATGCACGTGATTTTGATTTTGATCTTGCATTTTAACGGTGAATCCATTATATTTCCCCTGCATATTAGCTGCCCCATCTGTTGAATCAGCGATACAAAATCCAACGTCTAAATCATTTTTTTGTAGTACGTTATTAATAATGTCATGAAATCCTTGTCCAGTGCTATCGTGACAGGAAACTACAGCTACAAGTCTTTCCATAACTTGTTCTTGATATACGTATCTGCAATGAAAAAAATCTTGTTCAGGTATTTTTATTTAGGTAAAACTTAAATTTAACTTTACAAAACCGTAAAAATTAATTTTTATGTACTCACTGTTTGTATATTATGAAAACTTTTTTAATAACCTTTCTATTGTCCATCTACATTTTTTTATGAATAACTCATTATTATTTCTATTATCTTGTGACAAAAAAGTTAAAAAGCTTGGTAACCATACCTTACAACAACAGAACATTGGTCCATTACTGAAATATCCTGCGTAGTGTCAAGTTCCAGGGAAAACATACCAGATGACTTAATTTGTTCAAAGATTAGCTTTTTAATGTCGGTAGTTATTATACTAATAAGCATATTGACCGTTGTTTTTGAAATAAAAGTAACAAAATTTCCTGTTCTGTTTTTTATGCCTTTTTCTTTATTTTTTTTGCTTATTTCAATTGCGCTGTCAAGATGGTTTTTAAGTACAATATCATATTTTGATAAAAGCAAAATAATTTCCAAGAAGGTGCCATGATCTTTGTGCTCATTCGCTGAATCCAGGGTGTACGCGGCTTCATTTGTTTTACCACTGAAAAAAGTTATAAGTAAGTAAGAAGTAACAAGAGTACATAAAATTATTATAAAATTAAGTTAACCTACCGATATGACAATCCTCTTTTGCTAATAAGTTTAATAACATCTATAACTCGGTGAACTACTTCCCTATTTTGAGTAATTTTGGATTGTTTTTTCTTTAATATTTCAGAATCACACAATAACTTGTTTATGGATTTGTTTGCGACAAATCTAAAATACGAAGTGACAGAATTTGTATGTTGATTGGAAATTTCGTGTTCATTTATTCTTTGGTAAACATGTCTCCAGTCAGACATTCCTGAGTAAAAATATTTTTTTCATTGATTCCAGAAAAGGCTAAACAAACACAACAAAAAAGGGAATTGTTTTTGTCATTAAAGGAAATCCACTTTCTTTCACCCTCTGTTGGTGATCTTTTAAAAACATTTTCTACATTAAAAGGTAATGAATGCGCTTCATTCTTATTTGGAATTTTTGGATGATATTCAAAAACAAATCCTAGCTCTTCTTTTGTCGGTCTTTTAAAAAAGTCGGGTTCCAAACAATATTCTTTGTCAATTTCAAAAGGCACTATGGGCTGCGAGATCATTTCGCTGGATAAAGTGGGCCTTAAAATTTCAATATTTTTTTTATTTTTAGGCGAACTTTCTTGCATAATCGTAGATACGGGTGTATTTTTTAAAGGTTCAGACATTTTAGATGTCGATGGCCGCGGCTGTTCTTGCGGATTAAAAAACGAAAACGTATCTAATGATCTGCATTTTGCCGCTTCTTCTAACAGTTTCTTTTTTTGCGCTCTCTTTCTTTTTCTGCTCCTCCTTTCCGCTTAATTTTTTCCTTCTCCTGTCTATCCATATTTGTAAAGAACACACGAACACAAAACAATCAAAAACAAACTTAGCGTGTAGCTACCCGGAGCCGATGTATTCAAGACGATGAATTAGGACGTAGTGGTCGATGATAGCTCTCCGATCTGCCTCCGTTGATCGGAGTAGGGAGTAGGTATAAAAATATTTAAAACGAGGCAAAAATCCAAAAAGTAATAAAGTCTATAATATTTTAGATTTACTTTATAAAGGTAAAGGAGAGGTAAAGGTAAGCAAGTAATGCAAATGATGGAAAATTTGCAGTGTTGAAAGAATCGGCCCAGGGTACTAAAATATTTACAACATAATTACGGGTTTAGTCCCCACAATATTATAAATCAACGGTATAATTTTGTTGTTCGAAGATTAACTGATGTTTAAAAATATTTGCGTTTACTTTAAAACTTAAAAAAAACAATGATTTAAATTTAAATTAACAATTAAAGATAGTGGCCGGCGATTTCCACGTGATGCGCAAAACAGTTGCGTCGCAACTGTTGCGATTTTCGTTCGCATTCTAACGAGATCGAACAGACCTTGTTGTGTGGCACTGTGGCTCTGTGTTGTGTGGATTGTTCTGCAAACTGCAGAAGTTGTGTTGATTATTGTACTTAAAATGAAAATGCAGTTTTAATCAGTACAGTGTCTTATTCAAATGAAAAATGTCATTAAATTGATAACATCTGTGTTAAAAATAATCTTACTAAAAAAGCGGCCGCCCCGGCCCCATTTTGGTGTCCGGCCCACCGGGCATTTGCCCGGTGTCCCGGTGGTCCCATCCGCCCCTGAACGTGACGGAGTTGTATAACATACAAGGAACTTCCTTGAAGGAAGTTATGTTCCTCTGCGCTGCACAGTGTTTCAATTCTCGAAATTTTCGGCAAAATATCAAGGAGTAGTTGGATCCTCCTAAAAATCCGTATATAATGGTTTTTGGGATCGCTGATAACGAATCTGGAATCAGAATTCCAAAATTCAAAATGGTAGATCCAAAATGGCGGACATATTTGTCAAAAAATTGACGAAATAAATTGAAAATCGCCATACAGGAGTTTTTGTGGTCGCTGGTAATGAATCTGGAATCAGAATTCCAAAATTCAAAATTCAAAATGGTAGATCCAAAATGGCGGACATATTTGTCAAAAAATTGACGGAATAAATTGAAAATCACCATACAGGGGTTTTTGTGGTTGCTGATAATGAATCTGGAATCAGAATTTCAAAATTCAAAATGGTGGACCTCAAATGGCGGACATTTTTATCCAAAAATTTTCGAAATTAATTAAAAACCCGTAAAAGGTTCTTTTTAAAATGTAAATAAAACATCTTTTTATAAAATATCTTAATTTA